TACTGTTAATACCATGATAGCATACAGATGTCACAATGCTGAAACAGAAAAATGAAAGACAGAAAGAAGTAATGAGAAATCCAGGACTTCAGTAAGATGAACAATATATGACTGTTGAGGTAAAAAATAGAAGCATCTGTAATAATATATGTATCTGAAAGAAATAAGGTAAAGTTATTAATAAATTAAAGTGCTAATCCAGTACTTCCGGTCCTGCTCTTAGAGAATTCCAACTGGCAAAAGCTCTGGAAGCGTGGGTGCTCTGGCACACAGGACCTTGATTTGAAATCCTGACTTTCTGGGCACACATTGTAAATTGCTAGTGAGCTCATTTATAACAACTGAAAAAAAATACCCTAAATGAGTCAAACAAAAAGGACTCTCCCTTTTACCTCTGGCATGCTTCTCACAAAAAAAAAAAAAAAAAAAAAGGTATTTAATTCTATTCTAAAGCATAATACAGAAGCCTGCGAGAGTACAATTTCCTTCTATTTGGGATGTATAATGTTATTTTCTTTTTTTTTTTTATAGTCCAAAGTGTTCCTTTTTTTTTTTTTTTCCCCTAAACAAGAAACTAATTCTCTAGGTCAAAGAAATATTTAGAGGTCAGCTTTTTACAGCCGAGGAAGTAGATGGTAAGATCCAAAGCAAGCAATTCAGGTTTTGGAAGCATTTTATGTACTACATTCTGAACCACTTATATAGTCTAGCTGTACTTTTTATGCTGTGCTTTTTAAATAAACAAAATGAGAGCAGCAGAATGCATGTATGTTTAACATTTATGAGGATAAAATAATTTAAAAAAATGGCATAGTAATGTAAATGCTTACCATTTAACACAGAATTCTGAAGTAAGAATTCCAAACAGCTGTAGCTTTATTCACAGGACTGATAAGTTGTTTTGTATTATAATTTAGTATTCACAAGAAAAGTCAAGAGCATTTGTTTTTTATTTTGTTTTAAACTTAGTGAATGACAATGTGACATTGTAGTGGTTATGAGGAAAGCTTATTTGACAGATGGTTTTTTCCTTCCATTAAATGAATAATAATAATAAAAATAATCCCTGAAAACACTTCGTTGATTTAAGTGAGTAAAAACAATGAAGAATGAACTACTGCTTATTCACATACTAATTTCAGACATCTAGCAATTTTAACTGCATAGACTAGCCCACAGATTTCACTTGGAATGCCCTGAAAGTAAACAAGTGGAATGAAGCTCATTCATGTAAGAAATGTTTGGCATTTCTTGACTTAGTAAGTCAGGAAACATACAAAATATCATTTTAACATAATAGTAATACTTATTTCCAGGGCAATCACTAACACTTATTTCCTGTAACATACATAGAGACCAAAAACCTATGCATTACCAAAACCTCTTTATTAGACTAAAAAAATATTATTGGATCTACACATGTACCACTGGACCCAATTTCATTTTGGCAACCATCTTCTACTGAAAAGTGCTTAAGATAAAGACTTGTGCAGAGACAACAAAATAAATATGTACTTAGTGCATGGAGTTTTTCATTGACATGTTTTGTACTTTGATTATCTGTGTTCAGAATCAAAGAATAAATAAGAATATTGGCACAAAATGCTTTCAGCAGATTAATTTTGCTCTGATCTCCCTTGAAATATGTATGATGAATCAGAATAAGAATTAAAACACATCCATTTTTGATGAGACTATATTTAGTACCACTTCTCCTTACTAGTTAATTACCTTATTTGTAATAAAATTAATTACAGTAAGCCTTGACATTTTAAGAATTTTGAAAAGAACTGTGTAAACTTGGAATATTTTATATATATATATATACACACACACATACATATACATGTCAAGATACAGTTTAAGTTTAAACAGAAGATATCCTAACTAAGCAGAAATGTCTAAATACTATTTGAAATCCATAATGACCCTAATTATAATTTCCTCTCTGGCATATTAAAAATCATCAATTAAAAAAATATTAAAAAAAATTGTTCAGTCTTGAATCCCCTACAGTACCACTCCCCTAAGAACCATTCTTGGGTGCCAACTCCAAATAAAGTGCAACACAATATGTTGCATTATCACCTATACCATGTTTCTTTTTCTCTTCTCTCTGTCACAACAATCTGATCCATATGCCTCCTGATAAGTAATATTATTTAGGTTTCATTATAGATGCAAAATTAGATGCAAACTACAACATAGACATTTTCCAATAATAGTAAATCATGATTTTATCAGCCCTCATGCAGGTCAATACTTCTGTTTCGACTACTCACTTGTATATTTATTCTTTAATGTTAACTAACTCTCCAGATAACAAGTAGCTCCAAGCTCAGATGGCCAGCAGAATTGTCATAAAGATTTGCTGTGTTATACATTGATAGAGTCTAACTGGAGACAGAACACATAGATGCTATCTGTTGATTTTCATAAATGCTCAGGACATTTATGGACAGGAGGCTCAGACAGATGTAAACCAGCATGGTCACAAATATTATCGCCATATGAAAATGAGCTCAAAACACTGAAGTAGTGGCTTTTTTTACTATCATTTCATTATACTTTAATTTGGGTGTTTAGTCCACATCAGTTGTTTACCAGTGAACACCCTGCTTGCAAAAACACATAAAAAAGCGAAACTCATAAAACCTGACATTTTATATTTTCCCCCACTTGAGCTGTTTAAAAAAAGATTGACTTATCTTTCAACATTCCATTCAACTACAGCATATAGCATTAATAAACCAGTCTGACTCATGTATATGACAGTTATTCTCTAGCAGTACCTGCTACTCTCTGCTTGAAACTATGCTACCCATAAAAAACTCTGTATATCCAATTCTTTTTTCCACTTTAAGTCTATATTAAAAATAATGACCATTGAACAAGGCCATTATATGGCATTTATGACTGACGAGTTTAATTGTTTGAAGTCCTTATTTATTATTGATAGTCAGGAAAAGTATGGTATCTATCTCAGTCAGCAGTACTTAAGTTTTGTTCTATATTTTAATTGCAGAGCATTTGCTCCTAGAAAGAACTCCTGAAATAATGAACACATGTGCTACATGAGCCTGAGTAAACATAAATAAATGATAAATTTAAGAAACTTAAAATTTTGAGTTGCCCTAATATAGCTGAGGTCCTTGAAAGTTATTTCATCTTCTAAGTCTTATTACAGGTAGCAACTCATTAAAGTCTCCTCTCTGCTTCTTTCTGGAGGAATGGATGCAAAATTCCTTGCTATGATGTCAGAAGAAACCTTTTCTGATGATGTAATGCACTACAGGATAAAAAGGAAAAACATACAACTGATACACTTTTTAGTCACACATTTCGAAACAAGGCCCCTCAGATGTACGCTATGTGCAGATGGTACGTTCCTAGTTTTCCTTTGCATATTCATATTAAAAACTGTCGTGAACTGCGAACCCATTCCCATTTATAAGACTGACATTTTCATCACAAAACGTCAGGTAGGAAATCTTGGGAAGTAAGATTCATGAGTGTGGCTTAAAAAACCCAAATGATTTCCAAAACCCCAGTTTCCCTATACAAACTAAACAGCAAACAGGACCAGAGTGGAAAATTCATATGACAGATTTTTACAAAAATGTTAGGAAAGTACATCTTTAAATGAATATATAGATTATTTAACTATATCTGAAAAAAGTCACTAAGAGCTATTCAACATCTGAAGGACTAGTTCTGTCAGGGTAAAAATAAACTAGCTAATAAGAGCATTTGATTTTGCATGTAAAAAAAAAAGAAAGAAAGATACTTGTCTGTTCTTGCTGTTTCTTTAATTTTCTTTCTATGGCTTGATTTTGTCACATCCAGTGCTACCCTGTAATGTCCTTGGTGCATTTGACTCCCATACTTTTGGGCAGAATGATAAATATTAACCCAGTAGGTCCTGAGGGGATATTTCTGCTTAGAAGATGATACTAGTAACTGCCTATGGTGAAAATTACTCAGATTAATGGTGTAAAAGAAATATATACATAATGCTATCTAGCTCCTCATCCTTGATACGGATGTCATTTAGTTTCTGAATTACAACAAAACAAAACAATCAAACCCAAGAATTAATAGTGACAACAATCTACATGAGAAAATCAAGGTTCAAGGTAGCAGCTTGTCCTCATGTCTCCAGAATCTCCTGGACATCAGGGGAAATCGCACTGGTAGTTTTCTTCTGGACCAGTTCCAAAATAAATTAAAATAAGACTAAAAATTCTCACAGCTTCAACTTAGTAACCATTAACATACTAATGAAACAAAATCTCTAGGCAGTTACTACTTTCTTTATACAGATGAGGCACAGACATTAAATAGGTCCATCTTACAGAATCAATTAACTTTTCAAAACTGGGAATTGAATTTAGTTATTGCAAACCTTTAGACCTAAGTAAATATTTCTACGTTGCACATAGAAAGTTCTTACATGCTGTACTGATCTGTTACAAAAAGCTTTAAGATGTTACAACACTTAGGTGAATTAATCATGCATTTTCAATAGCATGCCCAGTAAAAAATTTGAATATTTGGCTTTTAAGACATTGATTAATTGTGTATCAGAAATGCAAGATTTCTCTTGGCCTATGTCAAACTAACACTGCAGGAGGATACTTCTCAGCACAAAGAATATTTCTTGAATTCTACTCAGATCGTATATCCAGTTTTGAGAGATACTGTTTTTCTATTCCACACTATTATACAACACTTCTTTTTGCCTGGCATGTGACAAGCATTCCCATCCTTTACGTTTACTTTACTTCACTTCCTCAAAGCTGAGGCGGCAAAAACAGAGCCAGCAGCCTCATAGAGCTTTTCATGGAAAACCGCCATTCTAACCTGGCATCTAACTTCATTTTATTATTCACTCAGAGAAGTTTAAAACTCTGAGATGAATTTAAATATTTATGCCAACAAAGAAACTGATGAAAAGTACCATCACAAAAGAAGAAAACAAAAACAATGTAAGCCATTACCGAAGTAGCTCTTCTTGTGAAAGCTCTGACGTTCTTTGCTTGCCAGTCACCAGCGCCAGCTCATCCTTCAACTCCTGGATCTCCTTTTTCAGCTGGACAATCATCTACAAACAGCAAGGCATAAACAAATTATCACCTACAAATTAATACCTAGTTTATGATTTTTGCATTGGAAGGCTGAGTTTAGGGAAATATTACACTTGGGTTTTCTCTTTTTTTTAAACGTCTCTCTTTTAAAAACAGTCTAAATGCCTTAAATATACCAAGAACTTTTTTTCCTTTTCCATTTATAAAAACAAGAAAAGTCTTCCAAACTCAGTAAATTCTATATGTTAGAAGACAAGGCTGTACAGAAAAATTCCAAAAGATTATTTGCAAAAGAGAAAAAAAAATTGCCATAGGAATAAAAAGAGCTTTCTGATTCATAGTTTTGCCTGTTAGTAATGAAAACACATCTAAAATAGAACTGATGTCTTTGTCAGAGAAAGGACAAATACACACCAAAAGTGATTTTCTCTTACTTTCCCTTTAGAAACAGGAATTCCAAAACAATATCTTAATATTTTAATCTTAACTTTTCTTCTTTTTCATGTAATATTCCATTCTTATTAGAATTATAGCAAACTATAATTGTAGGATGCATCAGTTGCTAACAACAAATGAATAGTATAAATCAACATAATGGAATTAAATTGCATTAATGAATAGTACCGATTGAGAAAATGACTTGGAGAACTGTGTTAGATTTTAAAATTCTAATAGCTCATTATTGGAGCCTGTACTTTCAGAAGAAATATCTGTATAAAACCATATTTTACAAATCATTAGCCTCCCAAGGCCAAATTCTACAAAGCAGGGACAATATGCAAATCCCTAAGTCTAAAACATGAATGAACAAGTTCTTGGATACTTTCTGATTGATCATTTTAATGATGCATCACCTTATAAGGGCTCAAATGTATCAGGAGTCCAATCATATTTTTAGATGGATATGAGTACTCTGATACCATGTGCAAAATAAGTTTCCAAGAGAAGAATGTTTTCAAGGAAAAATGAATTAATCATTCTTGACTGCACACACTTTTTAGAGATAAGATTGTTGAAATTGATGACATCTTTTCACTGGATGTTAAAATTCCTTCAGACATTTGTATTTCTTTTAATGTTTAAATTTAACAATGACTTCCTAAACTTTGAATGAGTATTTTTACTTTAAAAATCAAAATATTCTAAACATACACGGTTATTTCCTTTAACCCTAAACTCACTGGTAACACATTTGGTACTATGAAGTATGAAAGGCTAACTTACAATATTTTAAGTAAGAATCATTAAGGTGGCGAACTGTTAATTACAGGCGCTGCAAGAGTGCTTCAAGAATATTGCAGGTCAAACATTTTAACCTGATTTTAGGTTGCCTCACTCTGGTGCCACACTCTAATGTAGTCTGTGCCAATTACTGACTCAATAAAATAAAATTTGGGGCTGAAGTATAAAATGGCAGAAAGCTGAACTGATAGTACCATCCCTGTTCAATGCTCAAGTTTGCTAGCATGATTAACGTCGATCTGACAACAACAGAAATACTGTTTTCAGAATAAGGATAAAAGATTGATTTTCAAGTATTATTAAGACAAACAAAAATCTACAGCAGCATATTTTCATTTCTATTTTTAAATGAATGCCAGAGGAGATTAGATTAATTCAGGTCCAGTAGTTTGGTTTTCAGTTTAAAGCAAATCCTTTAATCATGAGTGAGAGAGGTTCAAAGCCGAGTCACTTGAAAAGCAGAATGGCTACAAGTTCATGTTCTTAGTAAGATACACACTCAGGAAGTCTTCATTATGAAGAGTAAAGTTAACGCAACAGTCAGACTTAACTTAGATCTATCAAGAGGTATTATGCACTCCCTTTATAAATCGTGCACTCAATTTACAGATTTGCAGTATTTATACTGCAAATAAATGGCATTTTTTCATTTTATGAAAAAAATTGTAAGTCTAGCAAATCAGGTTGCACCCTGGGAATATACTTCAGGTAGTTAAGATGGGCAAAAAATTCCACAATGAGCACAGAGCCATATAAGGTCTAGGTACCTGTGTTCCCCTGCCTTTTCCACAAGAGGGGATGGTTTTCTAACTCTCACGAGTCCACTTTTGCTTTACTTGCTAAATGACCCTGCAGAGTGAGACATACCAAACTCGTGGAGTATAGCTCCACAGGATGTAGTAAATGTTCAGGAGCCTGCATGTGTTCCACCTCAATCAAAGGCTTCTGTGGCCATGGAAGAATTTTTTTGCATGATTTGCTACTATAAAGCCTACACAGGAAAAAAAAAAAAAAAAAAGACAAACAGACAGAAATGAAGAAGTTGTTCAGTGCCTACTGGGTTTATTTTTTGTGCCTTTTTTTGTTTGTTTGTTTTATGATGCTGTTACTGTTAGAAATTGTTCGGAAACAAAGATAAATAATATAGTAATAAAAAAAGAAAAACACCAGAAAACCTGACAAGAATCTCCTATTCCCTTTGAACTTCAAGGACAAGAGAAAACAAAAGCACAATCATTAACAGTAACTGAAATATATTAATTAACATCAAATAACAATGAATGAAATAATCAACCATCTATTCCCCCAATTTTTAGACAACAAATGCTTCTTGTGTTATATAATCTAGCATTCTGCAGTCTAGCATTCAAGGGGAAAGCATTTCCTAGCCAGTTCAGAAGGTTATATGAGAAAAAAATACATAAAACTTGTAATTATAAATTAATCATGAGAAATTTAGAAATACAGTAATAATATTGCTTATTAAAAAGAATGATAATGCGATTAGTATATAAAAAAACCATACAGGACCATTGAAATTAGAATATTTAATTCAGATTTTATATTCTTTAGAGGTGAAAAACTCTGTTCAAATATATAATTATGTTGTCAAAAATTATGTTTTAAATATTGTCTGTTTATATATAAACAGAATAATATAATACCTTAATCTTATTTTTCATCTGATGTCTCTGTCACAGAGACAGAGGGTATGCTGAAATGCATCCATAGTTCTTTCTTCATTATATCCATATATGCGGCTTTGGCATGCCCAGTGTAACCTCAGTCAAACGTTTCACATACCAGAAAACATCTTTGATATACAGCATGCAACCCAGCTGATCCAGTAACTATCATTATCTGCAATACTATGTCGAATTAATCAATCCTTAATAGGTGTACTTAATATTTACAAAGGAAATAAATTTTCCAGGTAATGCAGAAAATGACATCAAATAAACTAACAAAGGCCTCTTAATATAGTAGTTATAATTACAGAGCACATCTTCAGACAAATCTGGTATGTAACAAACTAGAGGCATACAAAATCTTTCAAAGGAAAGACTAACCAAATACTAAAAAGAAAAAGTCTTTTTATTAGTTATTATTATATATAAGTTATTATTATAATAAAGTGTTAAAATTTTTGTTATGCACATTAAAAGAAGAAATTTGTTTTCTTTATGTGGCAATGCTTTGTGCTTTACAAATGTGGATTATTACCTCTATCCTTCTCTGCACTTCCTAAATTCCCAATCCATTCTGCAGAGCTCCTTTGCTGCTCTTCGGGATATGAACATCAGCCTAATGCTTTAGTGTGGAAATCCTCTTTCTACATCTCATTTACTTGTCTTCCTTTTTTCCTAATGATAGCTTTACAGAGTTTGTTCTTCCTAGCTAAAACATTCCCTGGACCAGTCTCAAGGAAGGACTGTATCTGTATGTTTCTTAGCTTTTTAATACACGAACTTTCAGTACAGCAGCATGCCTTCAAGTGACTAGCAATCTTAGTATATTTTGTAAGCACTTTAGGGACATCCAGTTAACTGTGACTATGATTTAGAAACTAACACCTAAAAGAAGTAACACAAAGATGATAATGAAAGTGACCATTGCTCCTCAGATGCCTTAAGAGATAAGAAAAGTTTTAGAGGTTTTATAAAGGTCCATTTAATTATAATTATGTCCAAAAGCAAAAAGTTAAAATAGTAGTTACTTTATAGAAAAAATTGGAACTTGCATCTAAAAAACAATTTAATGGGATGATTCAGTATAAAATCTTCAACATCTGTTTGACTGATATTGATTATTCAAACCTAAAACAAGCAATCTCTTTCCCTCTGCCCCCATACAACTCTCACCAATCTGGGGTCAATTTCTTCATTAAGAACTGCTTCATTCTTAATAAGAGCAACTCGCTGTGCAAATCTGCAGGTTGCTATAGATTCCTGGAAGAGAAAAAAAAAAGAAAGAGACAAAAAAGAAAAACTTCAGTTAGCTTTGCACCAGGTAAGTAGAACAGACTGTTAATGAAGTCATCAAACTAAGTTTCTATTTTTTGTATACTTTACAGAAATAATCTATCATTTCATATCCCCAAACAACAATATTCAAGGGAAATTAGGTTAGCATATTAACGACTGACTGACAAAACTGTAAAATTATAGTACATATTTTATTGACCCAGTCAATCCCCTGATCAACTCCATTTCAAATGAGTCCCCAGCTGGCCCTAAGGATAAGAAAGCCACACTACTCAGAAGGTAAAAACTTAAGCCAGATGTAGCTCCATTCACCACAGCCCTTTCATAAACACTACAGCCCTTTTGGTAGACAAAGAGAAGAAAACATCACTATGTATAATTCCAGTGCAGTGAAGGGAGATAAAAGTATTTGAAAATTTCAAAAATCCCAAGTCACCCCACCCAGTTCCCTCTCTCCCCCAGTGAACTCTCCAGTTGTCTATTATACTCAATGAAATCTCAACTCCAAAGAAGTCTACAGAAGTTCTGTGAAGGCTTTCAGTGTGATCCATAATCAACTTATAGATCTTACCAGTATGTCCTGTAGAAAATTCCTTGGAAATGCATTTTCATAACTCAAAGATTTATTCATCGGGAAAACAGTAAATTTAGAAACAATATATAGTTCATTACTAGATGCAAGCTCTTTGACTTGAGATTACTTAGAGAAAAGTACATTTTGTAAAGGATTTGTCTACATCTTACCGCAATTTCCACTGATAAAATTACCTCCAGGAAACAAAGTTAAAACTTTTTTTTGTAAGGGTAAGAATAAAAGCATACACACTTGAATTGTAAACTCTAATAAAACTCAAAAGTACAGGATCTTTAGAGAACTGAAAACTTTTTTGTTGAAAATAGATAGAAATAACATACATCTATGTTTCTTTGGTCTATAGAGAGCGTTGCTATCATGGCAGTCATGCAGTTTCCTCCCAAGCTGTCTCTTAGCACTGAGGTCATCATAGAGTTTCGGTAAGGAATATGGGATCGTTTTTTCTCTGCAAGGGCAATTATTACCTGGAACAATAGTAAAAATGGAAAAGACTTTTAAATTCACATGTCTATTAATGATTGACACACAAAAAGAACAAAACCAATCTGCTCAGGAACCTAAACTTCTGATATAACAAAACTACACTTATGCACCCAGTTAGCTGCAAACCCACTCATTTTGTTGAAATAATTTCAACTTAAATTTCTGTGTGTTTATATGTCATTGTAGGAGCTGGACCTGATAGACCAAATAAATTTAATTTTATCATAACATAGCTTTACAGCCTTTCAGCAACACGGAAACTGAACACGATAATGTAAAAACCACAGACTTTCTTGAGACACAGGAACTTACTGAAAATCTCCTTCATATTTGTTCTATCATAATAATAAAGTATGGATAGTATTCAAGTAAAAACTTCCTTAATATTTGCTAAAGCATGCTTTTAAAATCACAGATTCTTAAAGCACGTGGTTCTTAGAGGAGTCAATACATTTATTTCTGAGAAATGTCTTGAAAAGTAAAACACAGATAAAAGGGTGCATGATTACAATGTACTGCTGGAAATAAATAATTCAGTTTAGAATATATATGCCTTGGCCAAAAAGGAAATTGTACACCTACTATTCTCAGTTTCCCTTCTCAGGCGTTTACATTATGGGACCTAATTATTATTAAATAAAAAGCTAGATTACCTCATGATCTGTTGTGATATAAAAGATTTGAACTGTTACCTGGCCAAGCACTGTACTGAAAAAGTGTAGCTATATGAGTTGTGCAAGCTGTCCTAAATATTTAGGAGTTGTTTTTTCCTTTAATAAATGTTACACACCAGCATATATTTTGTTTACCTTGCACTTAAGAAAATTTTTATTTTAGAAAATTTAGTAGCAACTTTTTTGTTGGCACTAGTTACTCTTAACTCTTCAGACAGTTAAAATTTATTACTATAAATCTTACACTGGCAACCCTGAGAGGGATGAATACATAATATGAAAATTACCATCTTGTAAAGGAATCTGGAAACCCATTCCTGGATCAAGGTTTTCAAATCTCATCTATTACAACTTGCTAGATGGAAATATGCTGTAACTCTGTTAGTTTATAATATTGCATAGAAACCTCATAGTAGTCTAGCTTACACATTAATAAGCACATTCCCAGCCTCTGCCACACAGAGAGTACAATCTCAATAGACAAAATGGGAAAAGAGCCAGAAGGAAGATATGTTATTTCCATTAAAAATGGGAACTGTGTTACAGAGAAGTTCATTTTTTCTGAAGTTCATGTGGGAAGTCTGTAGGCCAGGTAGAATTTGAACCTCCACACACCGGCACTGAAAAACTATGTGACCAGCTGCCATGATGCAGAAGCCACTGTACTGTCATGTGACAGTCACATAACACAGAAGATGATGGGTTTGAGCATGTTTAGTAAAACCTCACCTAAATCACAAAATCTATCTTTACAATCCAATCAAGGAATCTGGAATAGAAAGAGGAGAAATCTGAGGGAGAGGGAAATTATGTTCCTTCACAAAGTGACAGAGACCACCTGTACAGGATCTGAGCCTGGATCTTCTAACAGCCAACCATTTTTACATGGTCAAAAATAAGGTGTTGTTATGCTTTTGATATAAAAAAACGTTTGGGGTTTGGGGGTTTGTTTTTGTTTTTTTAAATACTGTTTGGTCTAAGCTTAAAAGACCTTAATAATATTACTGAACCAGGACTGTAATATGCTGATTCGAATCAGCATAATTTAAGTTATAAAGTTTCATTTTGAGTGGGTCAAACAAACCACTTTAAGACCTAATTAATTTTTTAAGCATTGAAGCTGTCAGAAATATTGTCACTTTTTGTAAAATAGCATCCTATATGAAACATAATAGCATAGAGCAGGTACAATCACTCACAAATAACTTCACTGAAACATTTGGAAATATTGTTAAGTATAAAGGAAGGCATGAGGCTCACAAGTGGTTATGATATGATCTGAAGTGTGCCCAAGAGTCCCTGTTCCTGTCTACATCCTTTGTGCAAGCAGTAACTTCACACAGGGAACAGATTTGCACCAGTACCTCATGCCAACAGGCAGCCAGGACATGTTCTCAGAGCATCCTCAGGACATGAGGATTTGGAGGTGCATCAGAGCTATCAGCTACATCTGCATCTTGCAGTTTAGTGTACCACATGCTCTGAAGCCATATGCCTGCTCCAGAGGTCTCCTTTTTTTTCTCCTGTTCATTTGCAATCACAAGACCTCTGACATTGCCTTTGATCCATATTGAGAATCCTTCCGGATTCCTGCCCACACCACCCCACTCTTCAGATTTCTGTCAATTAAGTCTCCCATCCCACCTCCCACTTGTAGTAGAGTTTATCAGCTTAAGCTCTGGTCCTTACAGCAAAAAATCCAAACTCTATTGCTGGTGTCTTGCAGCTAATTACAAGCATTCTTACTTTTTGGACAACATATGCTTTTCTCCAGTACATACTACAGGTCTTGCTGGAAATAATTCATCCAAAAAAATCACAATTTGCTAATTAGAAACAAATGCATGTATTTCACTTTAAATTATTAAAAAGTTCCTGGGTTTTCTGTTACTCTAATGTCTGTATATGTTAATTAGGAAACAACAAAAACAGAAAATTACCTTTTCTATAGGATGTGAGTAAATCTAGCCTTTAATGGCTGGCAGTGATTTCAAATTTTATTAGCAAAAAATTTGGTAGGTGTGGGTAGCAATCATTCACTAACCAATATAATCTTTCTGCATTCCCAAAATGGATCATGTGTTAAATGACAGTTAACAGGCATATTCATCAAAGCAGTGGGAACATTGTGTTCTATAATTTTGGGGATATACATACAGTTCTAATTTCACTATAGTGTCAATTCATATGTCTGTATCACTTAATTTGTAACTCAAAATTTGGCCCAAGATACCCTATGTTGTGTATCAGAGGGGAATATCTACACACACACAAAAAAATGCCGTTGCAATTCCAGAACATGCTACTACATCTTATGGACAACAAAAACTAGCATCTAATTGCTGTGGACACTAAAATTGAATTGTCCCTACTGCCATTGTAGATCACCTGCATGACACTATCTCATCTTCATTTGTCTCTAGACATATAGGCCACTTGGAGAAAAAGTGCAGTTGATTTATTTGAAGATTTTTTTTAACGCATAGTGGATCTTTAACAAGCAGATCAAGTGTGATAACACAGAACTGTGTTCTCATTGTCATCTTGACACAAATCATTTTACATGACTACTTTATTATGCAAGGTGTTTAGAAATGGCATAACACAACACTAAACCACCCATAGATAACGAAATAGTCGAGCATGTAAATAAGCTGACTTTGAGGAATCCTTGTACTTCAATATTAGTCCCTGCAAGGTCAAGGTTGAATGGCCCAATTCCCACCGAACAGAAAGATATTTTTTACTGTTTTCAGTGGTCTTTTATTCAGTATTAGAAAACATTTCTATTAACGAACGATACACAATCCCAGACAGAACCCAAAGTGCTTATCTCCAACTGTATTTATTCTAAAATAGGAGTTAAAAGTTGCATGACAAAACTTCAATATTTTATGCTTCTACACCACTTCAACCTTGAGTATCTCAAAACACACTACACACATTAAATTCAAGCATGCAGTGTTGCATTATAAATACATAAAAATCATACAGTAAATAAGAAGGATCCTAAGTAGAATTTGTATGATTCTGAAGATGTTCATTTTAGAATCACTTAGCCTTATCACTTCCCATGAGTACAACTGAAATACAGACATTTTTCTTCAAGGTAAAATTTAAACAAATGGTGGGTATGAAAAAAATTCAGTGTAATAGTAAATGACTGACTGCCACCTGCTGTGCCTTGAGCTTCTTCTTTTGACAGATTAAATATCTGTGATCACAGATTAAATGAAATCTAAGAGATTTGTTCTTATTAACAGAAAAACACACAACACAAAAATGAAAAATATTCTTCCCAGTAACTGGAACAATCAGTTATATTTCCTAATCATAATTTTAAAGAATTTTCACATACAGACACCCACAAAATTTTCTGTTTTAATGGATTTCTTTAACTGCATATTTTACTAAATAATGCATATATTGCAGTAGAAATTAAAAGGGACAAATCTGATTTTTAGAGTTAAGCATTTTTTCTTCTCCTCCCTCTCAATCCCCCATATTTCTCCCACTGAATGACAGCCTCACAGACCTGCTATTGTTGTATATAAAAATTTTTAAAGAAGCCTTAGGAAAAAATATACTGTATTCTCCAGCAGAATTTAAAAAAACATAACAAATTTCTGGCAACAGGAACAGTGTTTGCTGTACTATGAAAACAACATTATATATTCAATCTTAGAAAGAACTTCATTTCTCTTACAGGTGTGAGGTCTGAAATCCACACTTGAAAATATTCAACAATTGCAACTTAACGGCACAGCATCCACAAAAGAGATTTCATTGATTGCCAAGTGTTTCTTACCCTTGCTTGGTGTTCTATGGCATTAGAATACAAAATATCACAGGAGATCAGGAGACATAAGTGTAACATGCACTAAGCTTTTATAAATAAGCATAAATGTCTTTTAGCAATGCCACAAATACTAAGCCAAAAAGAAATACCTGAAAGGAAGGAATGCTATGGAATATAGACAATGCCTATAAACCTGGTGGAAAGAAAAGAAGAGATTCTACAAAAGAAGATATTAGTGAGTGAGAACAATCTCCACCATCACACTTACCACATTCACAAAAATTACAAGGATCCTAAGATGCAACATCTTATTTGTCTAGTCATGAAGGGAAAATGATTATATCAGATCAATGGAGAAAAAAATAATAAAAAACCCCAATAATAATTATTATTATTGTTGTTAATAGTAACAATCATCATCATTTGTTAACCAAACCTTTCTACTGGAATGCTTCATCTTCAAAGTCTCCAGTCACCACTGCTATCTAAACTCATTCTTTGTTTCTTTTAAAAAAAAAATTAGTAAGATCAGTCAGGATTAATCTACTTTCTCAATATTTGCTTTTTCCAAAGAGGAAAAATAAAAAGCAACATTGAAAGAAGGATAGGGATTTTAGTATACCTTAAATCAACAGGCTAAACCTTTTTCAGTAACAACAGCTGAATGATAAAGGTTTGTGGGGATTATTATTATTATTAATTATTATTATTGCAGTTGCATCTGCGAGTCTTATTGGTATAAAACCAATTATGGTAGTTACTCCATAAATACATTAACAAAGGTAACTCCTGTCTCAAAGAGATTGAAGAGTCACATTGGTAGAGCAATAAAACTATATGTGAGAGAAAAGCCTAATATTTTACCATATTACAATGCCTGAACCAAATAAAAACCCATCACTTTTAGGTTCAATTATTCTTGAGTGACACATCCTGATCCCAGCTGTGGAAGGGGCAGAAGATGACAAAAAACATTTCTAGCAGAAATACAGCTGCAGTTCTGTAAATATCTGTAGTATTCCAAAAAAACAAAGAAAACTATTTTTTAAATACAACCCTGTATGCCTACTATAACCTTACTGTTTAACTGTTAAGCTTCTCCTAAATTAAAATACATTATTTCAAAAGAAGAGCTATCAACTCAAACATTTTAAAAAACTGCAATAAATATCCGAAGACTAACTGAATATTGGAATCAAGATTTCCAAAACATTGCACATTGCTAAACAGGCATGTAGCAAAGGGAGAAATGTTTCTCTCTATTCCAATTTTACCTGTTCCAAATAATGTAATGACAGATTGATATATTTGGCTTCTGTCAATAAGTGACCTCCAACTCCAGTCTTTGCAACACGCTCTGATCCAGCAAGGTCTACTAGGTGTAACTTGGAGTGTTGGATAGTTGCAGATCCAGGTTCCTTGCTGGAGATGTGAATAGTGAAAATGCAGTGAGATCGGGTTGAGGCTTGATTCATTGGTGTCTAGAATGAAAAGACAGGAAGAGTCCTCAATGTTAATTTAAAAAATAAATTTTGCTTTTTATAGCTCAATAATTTAGGAATTAAAATCACCTATCAAGTTTTTTAGCTGTTGCACCTGTAATAAATATGCAAGAAGAACCCAAAAGCATTTACCTGGCACTCACATTCTGGCCCAATACTTCGATAACTTCGATCTGGACAAATTGTGGTGCAAACAACCAAGCAACTATCTTTGTTCCAAGGTACTCTAACAGTGAGTACATCAGCAAAGCAGCTGGCCTTACTATGCTAAGGAATACTGAGAAATACTAGAAAAGGCCAACTTGACCAGATGGAAAGTTACTAATTCCTGATCTCCAGGAAGTTATCAGTTTCCTCATCGGTAAGCCCATTTTTAATCTTTTTTTGCTAGATAGCTACCAGTGTAACTAAGACTAGGGCTTTCTATATGGTTTTAGACTTTCACATTTTCATTACTTTTATGAAAAAAATTTAACTTGGCAAAATCAGTATCAGAATTTTATGTGGCATGACAGAGTTTTCATAAAAGGTTTGGCTTTAAATATATTTATTTGGAATAGCTACTGCCATACTTCCTTAACAAGACACATGGAAATTCTTGGTCAATTTTTAGAGATGCTCAGCTTTAGTATGGCTTTAGTGGTGTTCCCAAGATATTTGAAATGTAGAACAGAAAATTTTAAACAGCTTTCAGATATTTAATTTTAGATTTGAAATGTCCACATACCATCACACATGTACCTTTCTTTTCTTAAACATATAAAAAAAATCTTTAAGCATACAAAGCCTCTTTCATTTAGTTATATCAAGCTGTTGTTGGAAACTTAAAACTAAAGGAATTCCTTATTACCCTAATTTTATAAACAGCTAAAGCTTTAGAATATATATGGAGATTATAGTATACCATACAAATAGTATTTTTATTTATAAACTATAACAAGTATGACTACATTGTTATCAGGGCATAAATACTTGACTTGCAGAAAAATAGGGCAATGGAATAAATTAATAAGTAAATATTATTGAGTTAGCAGCTAAATCTATACTTATTTATAGCCATTTAAAAAGAAGATAAAAAAATCCTGGTTACATTGTGTACATTAATCTCTTGTCTATACTTTATTCCTCTCTTATTCTAGAGTAATTATTTATCTAGGCATACACTGTCATTCAGACTAGATATACCAACACATTGGTTTTTTTCCATAGTCTGCTTTGGTATGAAACATTCCAGACATTAAAATAGCCTGTTCATTGCATGTGTTGAAACTGTTGTCTTGTTAATCCAGAAAGGACAGCTCTTAACAGAAAGACTGCAAGCTGAATATTCCTTTACCAGGAATAATTGGAACAGCTATACCTCTTGGTTGAATTGTCTCCCCTTCAATTTCCCAATATTTTTTTTCCAGCCTTAATAGTGCCAGCACAACTGAATTGTTTTTGGGAACTGATCCAGCTCAAAGAAGAAAAAGTAAAAAAAAAAAAAGTCTGCAAACCATAGATATTTAACCTGGATCAGTTTCCTGATTCAGTCACAGCGCAGCTGTAAAAAGCAGTTCTGCTAGAATAATTGAAAATGGCAGCATACAGCATGCGAACAACTAGGTGGTGTGAAGGAATAGCGTATGCTTGTAGTTGTTGGTGAAAATTCTGTAATGAAATTACAGCCTTAGCACTATTTTATTTTGGGCTGCTTCACCTAATAAAGCCAAGCTCAGAGGGAGAGGGAGTTTTGATCATTAGTTTATACAGATGAGGAATTTTGGAATAATATAGGCAAGCTACTGGCTCTGCTTAACTGCCTGGTTTCTAAGGATCATTTCACAATCCTGTCAAATGAGCATCAGAGCATCAGAGTGCAGTCACATGCTATGCTATCTTCAGAGGTGAAGCTGAACAAATGAAGGGGCAGTGAGCTGTAACACAGGAATGAAAATAAACAGGCTCAGGGGAAGCTGTCAATCAAGAAAATATTCCCAAACATACTTAAAATGCAGTTATACTAAGAAAAAGTCATATGCTGTTAAAATGTATTTTATTCAGCAATTCTCATTCCATGAATAATCAGAGCCAGCCTCACTTATTTTACTAGGAGAGCTATAATTTTACTACTTGCAGCTCTGTGAAGCAGGACTGCATATTTTGTTCTTCCAGCTCAAAATCCACAACAGAATTAATATTTAAGGACGTTCTCCTCAACAGAATTGATATTTGAGGACATTTTGTACTACAGTCATGGCATCGGTCACACTATACTGCAGACAAGTCTAAGCCAGATCGAATATCAATACAGGTCTAGATAGGAAGCACAAATAAAGGTTGCTATGAAAGAAGCAGAAGAAATCATCATACTTCAGAATAAGCATTCTTAAGCAAACTTAAGTTTCACTATGCAGCAAAACCTCATGTATTTCAAAATGTGCTTTTAGTCACACCTGTTTAACCCCAACAGAGGCAAAAAAATTTAAACATAAAAGTAATTGCAGGACTCTGAGTTCCAAAAGCTCAGGGCAATATTTGGCCTATTAGGTCTTTATTGCCTATAGCAATATGCTAGCCACAACTTGTTTTTGCATGTTCCAAACAGATTCTGCTGGACTGGTCATCAGAAATTCCATTTCTTTTCTCTCCACAACTTCTTTTTTCATGTAATTGCTATTTTTATAAAGTCCTTCAGAGTAGAACCAAGCTTTAATCAATACACCAATACTCCTTTTTACAATATGATTCTATCTCCACTTTGCAGTTCCCATATACAGAAAGCTCTATTAGAACTCTTACAGGAAGAATAAAGTAATAAAAATCAAAACTATTAAATAGGATGTGATTATGACCTGTTAATTGCAGTCATAATCCCCCATGCTTTGCTACTTTTACCACACAAGTAGATGCAAAGCACACAGCAACAGAAATGACAACTTGTCAGCATCTTCCATCCAAAAATAAGCCTTTTTTGTTGTTGTTTGTTTTTTTGCTATCTTACATATGCAACTTTGGAGTATCATCATTCAGCTGTTCAGAAAGTTTGAAAACTGAAAACAAACAAAATTTTCTGGACAGTGTCTCAGAGCCTACTAAAAGGTTCCTTTAGTGGCTTGCAGAGTTCATTCTGGCTTTGTTAGCAGTATTCAAACCATATGTATATGAAATCATCCTCATGCTAATTTGATGTGATGAAGGAAAAAAAAAAAGAAAGAGGGGAGTGGCCTGGCTCTCAACAGATGGTTGCTATTGTGAAAGTTATATATAGAACAACTGATGAGCTACAGTAACTTATAAAGAAATAGTTTTTTCCAGGAATTCTGTGACATCATAAACCACATAAGCAGACTTCAGATGCTTTGTGATATCACACGAACACTACAAAGGAATTAATGTCAGGTCATCTGTTGCTGCCCATTTGTGGCATGGTAAAAGAGGAATTCAATAACATTTCTTTCAAGATCATGATTTGGTAAAGCATCAGTGGTTTTTTTGATCTTGGAAAATATGTACAAGAGATATTTCAAGCCATACAACCCTGTCTCCTTTTTCTCCAGGACCAGAATATACCTGTGCTGAAATTAAATAAATTGTATAGAAGCTTTGTGACTTAAACCATTACATCTATTCACACAACGTTTGCAAGAAGTTGTTTTCTACTTAAATGAGAACCTGCAGCACAGACATATTGCAAGAAGCATCCAAGTCAGATGTTTCTGTCAAGGAATACAAGGTCATGAAAGGTCCAAAAACTTGCTGGAGCCTAAGTTATCCATCTTAATCTAATTGTTATCTATCTTAAAACAAAAAAACACTGCAGGAGTTCCTCCTTATACAAGAATTTATGTATTTCCCAAATCCTTTATTTGTTGCAGCTGCTATTATAAATGTTGTTTTCACTAAGAATAATACCCAGAATTAGGATGCTACTGGTCTAAATAAAGTTCTTAATAATTGAGGACCTAAGAAGGAGAAAGTTTCTTAAATAGGAGAAAAACATACGAAAAGCTGTTTGAAAATTACCATTAGACTAACAGAAGCTGCTACTATCTGGAAGAATAATGTGTTCTGCTGCCAAATACACTCAGACAGAGAAAATACAGAAAAGAGTTCAGGACAGCTGGGACAAAAAGATTTAACAGGTGATAAATGCAGTCATTCAGTCCATATTGCAAACCATCTCCACTTGGCAGTTTATACAGTTCCAGTGGAATCTTTTCTTCTTTGATTTAAAATATTTAGATATCAGAACATGATTTCCCTGTATAAGTGAATTAGTGACTAGCCAAGGCATAAATGAAGAAAGGCTGATTCTGAATGCTCCCATTTTTTTGAGAAGAATGTCGCAGTGAAAAGCTCCAAAATTTTGTTTTAAGGAGGGTTTCTTCCTTCTCTTAAGTTTTTTTTTTTTGCTTTTGAACTTTTTGATGAAGGGCAAGAGAAAAGAGAAAAGCACTGACAGCATTTAAGGCTGGTATCAAATTGATTTTCTCCAAACTCAAGCTACAATCAGATGGATACCTGTAGGAAGAAGTCCTGATAGCTTCAGTCATTTCACAGTTCAGATGGTAAGAAAAGAGCCATTGTGTCCTACAAGAATGATAATAAAGCAGTATAATAGTTTGTTTCTCTGGTTGGAAACTCAGAATATTCTGGTGCTTTCGCATTGTTGATTTATAGCACAGAACATCATGAGTCTCTGAAAGGTGGAAGGAGCAGAGATTCTTTGTTGAAAAACAGTGGCTATATCTGCCTAATTAAAATAAACACCACCAGTTCCAAGAGAACCATGCTATATGGAAGGGTATGTAAGTTGAAGAATAGGAGGTTTCTGCCTCTGTATCTGGTAGATGAGTGAGACCTTAATACATCTTTAGTTTCCTTTCTGATTAATATGGTACAAGTGAAGGGGCTCTTCAGGTGTACTTAGGAAGACTCGACACAGCTGAAATTGCAAATTTGTTGCTATGAAAATATAAGGATCAGAATAGATGCAATCGGACACTTCCCTGATTTCTAAAAGCAATACTTTACCTTTCCATATTTACTACAAATACAGTTTCACAGTTAGACCATGGTAACTGAGGTTAACTTTTCAAGTCATTAATATTCCCTGGTGAGGATATTATTAAACTTCATGTTATACAGTGCCTTTTATCCACATAAATCTCAAAGCACTTTAATGACCATTCAAAGTAGCACACATGACCAGTGATTCTTTTACCAGACACAGAAAAGACAGCACCTGTGCTGAAATGATGATGCCATTTGGTGCTAATGATACTATAGAACAGATTTGTCAGAGTGGAAATAAATCAACAATTGACACCAATGAGGATCCTATGAAAGCACAAAGTTGTAATTCATTCTGGAATGCAGCTCTAAAATGGATAACATGCCTTCTTGGCAAAAGTGTAATTTAATCTCATATGTTCACATATTCAAATCCTATTTTTCAATTTTCATCTGAGAAAAACCGCAGTCACTAGCAGTGGCTTTCTAAATATATTAAAGAGAATACTAATGGACAATAAAAATAAATACAAAGGGAATGAGTCCAATTCAGAGGTCACAAGTCAGTCCCCACAACTATCTTTACATGTTTAAAGTTTCATCTTTCTTGAAATAAACATATGTAAACATTGCCAAAAGCTTACTGCTTGCCCCATGTGTACTTCAAACGTTTTAAATGATGGAACAAATACCATGTAGTATGCACTGTCTTCCAGATTTAAACAATGGAGCATTATAGGTATAAAACCATGCACTAAAACATTTCCTTCCTCATTAAAATGAAGTAATTTTTCATTAGAGGAAAAACAAATGCTAACTGTACATGCATCTACAGTGTTCAGACATATCAATCTCACATAAAGATTTTACAGTTTTGAAATTGATGCATGCCCTTGGGAGGCTACTGGGTCTACCTTACCCTGCTATTTTAAGAGAAACACTAAAAAAAAAGTACTAAGAATTTTCTAAATCACAGATGTTCAGGCATATTATTTCAAAGGACAGCGATCACAAGAGATTCCCATCACAAGAATTTAGAAAAGACCACTTCAACTGAAGACATATTAATAGTATATCTACCAAAATAAAATGGTTTGTGAACACTATCTAAATGGCCAAACACTTATTTCTATAGATGAGCTTTTTTAGATGCTGCTGCTACCACCTGTGTCATATGTGCAAATTATATTTTGGAATCGTTTCTCTGCATGTATTTGAGATACCTAAATCATAAAGTTGGCTTAAAAAATTAAACTTAAAAAATAAATTAAGATTTTTTTTTTTTTTTTACAACCTGTTGCTGGGATTCCTATACATTCAAATGTAACAAGAAACTGTGTTTTATGGGAAAAAAACAACCAAACAAAAATATAGCCCTTACAGTTGGAAAAGCTGCTAACAAAAGAAACAGTTTTTTGGATTTGTTCTCTGCCTTTTTCTCCCTGGCAAAATGTAAGAGACAAAAACTTCCCATTTGGATTTTTACATTATGAAGTGTTTGTGCACAGATGTCTCCTATCTTACCATTTCCACAACTTGTAGTACATGTCATAACTAGAGCAAAGGACTGGTCCTATACTAATCTATAAACCAATCCTGCACAAATTAGATTAGCTTCCTCTTTTCTTCTTCTTATGAGCTATGCAATTATGTGTGGGAAAGCAGTATTTGGTTATAAAAGTTCCCTTAGGTTCTGACATCTAATGCATGAATTAATGTCATCTGTAGAACACTTTTAATATTATGATCACTTTCTTTTTAGCACAGTCAGTGGTGAGGGCAAAATGCAGCCCTCAAACCACAAGTTAGCCTCCACTAGCAGACGCATTACAGAAATTACATTGTCCTTCTTATTTTCAAAATGGTCCTGTAACTCTTCAAAGAAGGGTTATCTCAGGGCTAAAGCATTAGATTGCAACTTTAGAGACCACAGATTTCATATGTGATCCATGACAGTCATCTTAGTTTTTCCATAGCCAAACTCCTCATCATTAAAAAAGATTAATCAAGAATTTGTTTTATTTTATTTTCTATTTAGGTTTATTCATCTTGTGTCTTTTTCTTTAAAGATTACTTAAACAGGGTCCTAATCTTTTTTGAAGTTAGGAAGTGTTATCATAATTCAATTAAGGTTTAAAAATATGGATCTCTGGAGAAGTTATTGTTGATGTCGTAAGTCCCCTTCCCTAGACCTCTACATTAAACCCTCATTTCTGCAAACACTATTTTCTCATTCTGATAAGTCATCATGTAAAATACCACAGTCACCTAAACCCAAAAATGTCTAATGATAATGGGTGATAACTTCTGTAACGCCCAAGAGGAAGCAGCACTCAATAAGCTCACTGAGCAGTACTGCAATGTACCTGCTGCAATTGCAAAGGAACAGCATATGAGGTAACTACATGAATAAAACTTCTACAATGAAATTCACCTTATTTGAAGTTTTTGGAATCATACTAGCATTCAGACTAAGCAAAGTAAATATTGCTGCAATGGGTGGTAGTTATTCCAAGCAAGTATTCTCTGCATTTTTTTCTTTTAAGTATTCTTCATTAAAGACCAACAAAACAATAACTTTATAGTGTTTATATAACAAAAAACTCTTGCTATGGCAAAAGCAGCAAAAGTGACAGTGGCATAGCATTTGCTAGCCCAAGCCACTCAGATTAGTGAATTCTCTACAGCTGGGGTCCCACATATTCTCATGTCTATTCTTATGTTTTCTAGCAAGTACTAGCATGTCCCAAATAAAACTACCAAGTTGTGAGTTAAAAAATAAGCTAAAGGAGATTTTTCTTCACACAACTCAGTTAAGTCATGGAACTTTGTGTCACATGTGTTTTCATGATAAAAATTTGCTGAGGTTAAAAAGAGCATCTGGGCAAATTCATGTAAAGAAAAAATACAGCAAAAGTTATTAGCTATAAATAGTCTGAAACACAAACTAATGAAGATTAGGATTTTATTTTTTTTAAGTATCATTATTTACTTGGTTTATCTTTTACTCTTTCCTATACATTTGCTATTGGCCATTGTTCAAAACAGGAAACTGGAGCTGACATACCTTTGGTATGACCCATTAAGAATATTCTTATAGTTTTACTGAGCATTACTTCATCTTGACCTTTAATGACTTACCATCTTCATTAGTCCTGCTATTTGTTCATGACTTTCAGTGTTTGGGATATAATTTCTCTTTAGGCAAGGTTTTCCAAACATGTAATGCAATTGCCCTTTACAATTGCTGGTTTATGACCTTGTCAGCCAGCAGCACACCTTTCTTTAAATATTCTGTCTCATTTTCATACACAGCTCCTCTAAACTGATCAGAGATTTCCTGAAGATCTTTCTCCATGCAATGAACTTTCTTTTTCTGCTTTCATTACCAACTATCATGATAGGTTTTCAGGTTTCTGAACGCAGTGTTGTCTTTTTGTCTCTTCTATTACACTTTTTCAAGTTCCTCTCCTCTAAATTGTATCAATTTTTCCATTTCGACACCATCAGATGGTTCCTTAACTCAATATTTATATTTACTAGCAGCCCTTAAGCACAGCTTGATTATCTCTTGCCTTAACATCCTTCTGCCTCTCAAAATGTCACTGCTGAAATAGTCTCCCTTGAGAAAGAGAGAACAAATTGTTTTTTTGCCTATTTACATTTTGAAATCAAACACTTCTTCCCCTGTGCCCAGGTGTTCATGGTCAGTCAGCAGGAGCAGAGAGCTACTTCATTATTTCATATACTTCAAATGTCTTTCTGGTCACTGATTTACTATGTATCTTTTTTGTCAGACAGAGGAAGAAAACCCACAAATTTCTAAAATAGAATTAGCTGTGTTGTAGTAAAGACACATTGACAGTGCTCACATTATACAGTACACTTTTTATATTTACATTCCATTTCCAAGTAGGAAGATAAGGAAAAAGAAGCCCTACAGATTTTGGATATGGAAACACTTAATTTGAATTTTCCAGAATCAGTAAAACCACCCTTGTCTTTGCATACTGGCAAATATTTATTTTGAATGTGCTTCACACTGCCATTTGTTTTGTTTTTTTTTTTATTTACACATAACACCACATGTTTATGCAATAAGAAGAAAAAAGAGGGGACTTCTAACTCTTACTGTAATTACTTAAAAGGCAATTTAGCATTTCTGTGGGAATGTTTGACAATGCTTTGTAAGGCCATGTTTTCTAATCTTTAAATGTGTATTTATGTTGATACATACCACATTCAAAAGTCAGTCTATGGTTTATGAGAAATTTTTTTTTTCTTACTTATTTTAATTGCACTAAGTTATGACATCAACAACTAACAATCAGATTCGCTAAGGAAAAACAGAAAGCTCTTTGCAAAGTGAAAGCTATCATCAGAGAAATGCTTATTTAATTTCACTGTGGAAATACTCTCAGAAAGCAGATACTTATTTATCTCCAAGGACTTCCAAAATATACACCTTATGTGGAGAAGTTTATGACCATTTTAACTCTGATGGTGGTAAGATTTGTAGCAGCAATTCTCACCTCAGCAATCATTCTGTTGGTGTCTCCCAAGAAGAGTAGGTTTAAGGCTTCCTCTTCATTGGTTGCTTGCTGAAGAGACAAGTTTTTCAAATGAATATTCTGATCAGGGTCTTCCATTATTGTCACTTTTCTACATGGTAAAAAAAAAACAAAAACCAACCCCAAAATGAAAACTAGAATTGTTGTAAGGCTATCTTTGTTCTGCACTTTCATTTCAATTGCACCTAAAAGGTGACATCTAAAACCCCAAACCAATCATAATAAAAGAACTAAAAACACAAAGAGTAAATGATGCACATTAAAGGAAGTGCTCAATATTTTTTTAACTCTCTGTCACCTCCTTTTCATTCCTTTGTTATAAACCTCCACATAGAAAAGGAATATATAAAATCTATAACTATTAGAGAAAGCTTTGGGATTTTTTATGAGATCTAGTAAAATCTCAAGAGCAAGAGGTTAGATGTATCATCACAAATAATAAGTAGGGGGTTGTTTGCCATTACCACAGCTACTTAAGCACAAATGATAAATAAAGCATACCATAATCCTGATGAACAAATAGGCATGGAATATTTCAGAATCAATGTATCTGTAGCCAACATGTTTCTAATAACTTTGCATTTGTCAAGATTATTTCTCTTTTCATTCTTCTCAAATGATAATAACTACAAATGTAAATGATCCCTTTCTTAAATTAAAAGCAAGCAAATGGAATGATTTTATTTATTTCCACTGAGGTTAGAAATGCTCTTAGTTCTACTTCTTTAAGCCTTAAAGTTCAGAAAAACGAAGTTAGATGGAAGTAACAAGGATATGGCAAAAGCTCCAGGAGAGTTACTAAATATTACTGAAACTCCTTTTCACTTCTTTAAATAGCCCTTTTACACAAGAATTTTTTCTTTTGATCAGGTTACTGAGAGTTAAACTTTATTGGCTTTACTGAGTAGCCATTAGGGTGTTCTAAGTTAGGACATTCTATAGTGTCCAACATGGAAGCCAAGTAGTTGCATCACTAGATTTGGAAAACTCTCAGAGTGAAGACTCTGTTAAAATTGAAGTACACTAATTCTGAGGAAGAATGACACGTCCTTCACGGTGAATTACATGTCCTGAGACAACTTACAACAAGCAGATAAGAACTTTTTGAGAAGTTTTAAGGTTGTTTTTTTTAAAACCAATTTTTTTTCCTGTAAGTATAGATAATACTTTATATATACATATACACATATATATACATGTATTTGTACGTGTATATATATATTTCTTTTCATATTCTTCAAGGTTAACCACAAGAGGGAGTATGGGGCTTGAGTTTTTATCTCTAGATAGTTCTTGCATGTTAATTACTCCAAGCTGCTTCAAAACCACACAGGTTGGGTTTTGTTCTGCTTTGCTTGTCTTTTTTCCCCAAAACTGACAGAATCAAATCGAGCAGTAAGCAGCATTCCATAGTATTACTCTTAAGTATCAGGGAAGTAGTTCACCCTCTGATGGTCAAAACATTGGAATGGTTATACAGAAATAATTTAAACACATTGCAATACACTCACTATTTTCAAGAAAAAAATACATGTAAAAGTACACACAATGCTTCTTTAGTAGTCATAACAATTGTTTTACCAAGTATGATTACCTCCCACTTTTAGCCTTATTTTTGCATGGTAGGGTAAGACAACACTAGTTACAGTCACAAAACTCAACTTCCCCCATTCAGAGCATAAACCCAAAAGCATAATTATGCTCTGGCACAACAATGTTTTGATAATGTCAAGTTGTATTCTGTACCCCATTCCATCTGTGTGTGCATCACATGCTAAAGCCCAGAGTGCTTCTGATTACAGTATGGTGCTTTGACTAATTTTAATATCTCGAAATTGCACGGTAAGCATCATCTGCCACTTTTTATCATTTAGGAAAACAATGTTGGTTTACCATGCACACTTGGCATAGTATTTAAACTTTTAAGGATCTTTTCAGACTACATTCTGATCAATGGTTATAAATAATTTCCAGACAACAAAGATATTAGTTTGGATGAAAAGCTCTGGAGGATTATTATATCAGAAAGAAGACAGTGGGGGCATCGCAAACCAGTGACAGCCTCCTATACTGTGGCCTTGTAGCTATTAGGAGGATTTCCAGATGGAAGTCTAAATTTGCACAACTTGAGGCATCTGTCAAAACTTCCTCAGAAAGACATGTTCCAAAATGATAGCAAAATGATTTATTTTATAGTGCTATAAAGTTACTGTATAATATGATAATAGATTTCTATAGAACATTCTCTATATTAGTGAAATCTTTACATTTCATAGCCCTAACTTGCATCTTGGAGTGGAAAAGCTCTGTTAAATTATCCATAATGACTGAAAGAAGGCAGAGACAAGGTTTTGTTTTCTTTATAAACAAAGAATCTTTCCATTTGACTTAATGGATGGAATTTGTAGCTGACTAGGAAACCTGTAGGATGGGATCAGCGTTTTTTATACTGTTTTTAACTCAGGCCCTTTCCTGCACTAACTAAGCTGCCATTAACATAAGAGAGCCTTACACATTGAATGCTTTCATTTATGAAATTCCTGTTACTGGCAAACAATGAAGTCAAAGCTTTCTTTGCTTAATTAATACCATCTCATTAATTTGTGTAACATAAATTAAAAAAGACTTAAAATATTTTTGAAAACAAATGACAATTTTAAAAATCAAGTTTCCTATGATTATATCTGTCTCTAGGGCTTAGATTTAAAGAAATCTAAAATAATCTCAAAAACTTTATAGACATTTAAAAATTAATCATGATGACGTAAAAAAATATATGAGGATACATACGTTCTATGACAATACATTAGCAGGATATAGTGATACTACTTCAGCATGAGGAGAAGACTATACAGCTGTCCTAGTTTCAGCTGGGATAGAGTTAACTGTCTTCCTAGTAGCTAGTACGGTGCTATGTTTTGAGTTCAGTATGTGAAGAATGTTGATAACACTGATGTTTTCAGTTGTTGCTAAGTAGTGTTTAGACTATAGTCAAGGATTTTTTAGCTTCTCATGCCCAGCCAGTGAGAAAGCTGGAGGGGCACAAGAAGATGGCACAGGACACAGCCAGGGCACCTGACCCAAACTGGCCAACAGGGTATTCCATACCATGGGACGTCCCATCTAGTATAGGAACTGGGAAGTGGGGGCGGGGAATCACCGCTCCGGGACTAGCTGGGTGTCGGTCGGCGGGTGGTGAGCAATTGCACTGCGCATCATTTGTACATTCCAATCCTTTCATTATTGCTGTTGTCATTTTATTAGTGTTATTATCATTATTAGTTTCGTCTTTTCTGTTCTATTAAATCTTTCTTATCTCAACCCATGGGTTTTGCTTCTTTTCCTGATTTTCTCCCCCATGCCACTGGATGGGGGGGAGTGAGTGAGCAGCTGCGTGGTGCTTACTTGCTGGCTGGGGTTAAACCACGACAACAGCCAATAATAAATTTAGGAAAAGGCTAACAGAGAAAAGCAGCAAGCATGCATCTTGGAGTCTGTCCAGAAGAACAGAATAAACTAATGGATAACTATAGCTAATCTTTCTGTGAAGTTGCAAGGAGCTTTAGATTTTAAGAAAGAATGACCAAGATCATCATTTTTTATATCATCCGAAAAAAATTATCTTTCAGAATTATAGCTCCCTGAATACCAAATCAGAAGACAAAGTCAACACTAATTCAAGAGGCAAGGTTATAAAGTTATTCAGCCACCAGAACAGCTTTCAATAGCACAGATTTGATTTTCTATTCAAGTATAGACCTAGAGCATGATCTCCTTAGCTTGTGAGACATGACAGAACTACGAATAAGTATTGGTGAAGACTGTTCTGACATCATATTGTGGTGGGAAATCCTTCCCACTGTCTCCAACAAATTCTACATGCGAGACAAGAAAAACACGTTTTGCTTGTTCTACACTTTATGGACGTATAAGTGTATTGATACTGACCGAGAGACTGTTGCACATTTAGGAGTTAGTGATCCACATAACAGTTAACCTGTGAAGGCACAGCCTGTGCTGTGCTGCACGGACAGTATGGCATTCAGGCCTGTGTCGTGCTGCACAGACCCCTTGGCTGCAGGATAAATTCAGCCAGGACATTGTAACAGAAGACCCTGCAGGCAGCTCCCACCTGATCATCGCATCACCTGTGTGGCCTTGCCTTTATCAAAAAATGCCACAATAAGTTCTCATGAGAACACCTTTTAGAAATGGAGCTGTTTTCTTGTAAGGAAATTATATAACTTAATAGCTCAAATGAGCAAAGGGGAGAGATTCTCTCCATGGACAGGATCTGTGCTGCTCTGAGCAGTGCGCCGCAGGCAAATCCATTCAGGCTCCGTCCAGTGCTGCACAAACACAGGGTGCCCAGCATCTGATGGGATGTTTGACTTACTTGCCATCTATATTCCTTTTATTCTGTCTTACTAAAGCAATTACCTTATTAAACCATTTGTTGTCAGGCCTTTCTTACCGAGATCTAGAAATAGCCCTGCACTGGCTCTCTCTCCCCCCTCACCCCACTGTGCAGAGCAAAGAGTCAGAACTGAAACAATGAGATTGGTGGTTCATGTACAAACAAAACATATAAGATCTGTTAGAATTTGCAGGCAACTGCCATAATCTCACTCAGAAAAAAATACTTGTTAAATAATACTTTGGTATTCAAAAGTAAAGTTGCCTTGAACAGCACAGCAATAATCTGAACTGAATTAATTTACTCATCCAATGCCTTTAGAAAAGTGACCTTAGAAAAGTTTCACTGACTTCTTCCTACTGGTTTTCATGAAACAAATCAACATAAAATCTGGATGGGAATGAACAATACATAATGTATACTGAAGTTATTTTACACATTTAAAGTGTAATTTGTTTGAACTGTAATGAACTAAACATAATCTTTGAAGAAATGATTCAGAACAGTTTTCAGCTGTGTCCTCATTATAAAACAGAAAAGCTTAAGTTTACAAACCTTTGTATTCTCCTAACCTTTAGTATTCAGTAGTGACACACTGAATACTTCATTTTGAAAGAATGTATTCCATATGAACAGAGTAAGCTAATGTTATTATTAGCCTTAGAAATTTTAAAACACTGGTAATTCTCAGAAAACTGAAAACAGTTCTTGAAGACCTACGGATGGTGGCTGGTTTCTAGATTACGTAGTTGGTACAGCCATTAAAAAGAAGAAGGGCTTACATTAACACTGTTGAGCCTTGGAGACAGGCAACAGGTTTATCTGCATCAAAAAAATCAAAAAATCAGACTGAATAAAATATATTTCCTATATGTTGAAAAGGATTCCTTTTTTTTTCCTTCTTTGTTAAGTAGCACAGGAATTATACTAGTTGGTTTAGCTTTGCATGTCAGTAGTTTGGTAACTCTTACAGCCCTTGGAGGGCAGTAGAGAAATAGAAGAGTATAAACTCATCTGAGGTAGTTAACCAATATTCAGTTATAGATTTTTTTTTTTAAGTGAAAATATTTTACACTGCCCTTATGGAACATAACAGTTCTGTGTGTTACTAATTTATATTGATTTAGGTATCATTGTTGATGTTTGAAGTTAATTGGATCTTACCTTAAAGTGTCTTCCTTTTTATGGTATTGAGTTCACTTAATCTATACCTCAAATAAACTTCATCTGTCTGGAGCATAAGCTACTAATGAATTCTCAGAGGATTCAATATGAATTACCTGGTTCTTTTGTTTTGCTTTTTTTTTAAAAAGTCAGCCAACATCATACTAAATCTTGTACTTTTCCCTATCAAAGCGGACTTTAAAGAATCTTCACACAAAAATGGGGAATCACTTATGCTGGCTGGAAGTTTAGATTACATTTTCCCCTGGCCACATCACTCTTGATTAATAGTTGTCAGAGCTTGCTGTGAAGTAGCTCTTCACCTACTGCAGTTTAAAGACTGACATTTTAACGTAAAATTACATCAATTTTAGTTTGCCTTCACATGCAAAAGTGTCACCTGTCATAGTTTGGACAGGTAAAGCAGTAACTTATTGGTTGTCCTGACTTAATCTATGACTAATGTTCTATAACCTCAGTCTTTATTTTTGTTTTATTGTTCAGTGCCAATAAAACTCTTACTTCTTAATAAATAATACAAACTAGTTAGGAAGAATGTGTACTGGTAGGTTATAACTAAAGTGAAATTGGTTTGATTCAGTATATAAATTATATAAAGTTATATAATTTAAGTATAAGTTATATAAATTACAAATGCACTGTACAACACAAAACCTGCTAGAGGAGAAAGCCTCCTGCATAACCACAGAGCAAATGAAGAGCTTCAGAAAAATTTTCCTAATTTGAACAGTCCTGCAATCTTTTATGAAAACAAGGGATAGCAGTAAGAATTCAAATAGTCTTCTACCAGCTATATTTTATAGCAATAGTTTTTACTTTTTACATGTTTGAAAACATTCATTATTTCCTTGTATAAACATGGAACACTCTACAGTTACAACCAGAATTAGATTGTCAATATTAAATTCAATTTTTGCTTTCTAGCAAGTAAGATTCTTCAAATATATTTGCATCTGTATATGTTGTTTCAGCTACAGTGTCACAAAACTGCAACACTGTCAGCTTTGCATAAGCAAAACAAGTTACAATTGTAAACTAAGGCATATTGTATAAGAAGCATTAAGGTATATAAAATGATATTTTCTATGGGCTACATGTAATATCATTACAACTGAACATCCTGATAACTGGGTTTTTTTCTGTGAAAATAAAAGTTCAATGGGATTTCAAAACCAAATTTAGTTGATGTATAAATATCCGTACCTATTAGAAACATAATATATATGTATACATATCTCTACCTATGCATACATAAATAATTATGTAATTCTGTATATGAATCTATATAACTATACATATAAACAGATATATAGGTATATGAAATACATTCACACATTTGTCAGGAATTTACTTCCAGAAAACTAGTGATTTTCTGTGACAGCCTCTTCCATTGTCACCTGGCAGACTCTAATGAAATGATTAAGCAGTATTAAGATAAAAATTTAATAGTTTACAGAATATACAAAGGATGCCTACACAAAAAACCTTGACTTCAGGAGCTAAGATTCCAAAACTAATCATGAAATGATTAGATGCAATGGGCAATTTTTAAAATTTTTAGTATTTGCTTTGCCTTAAACTTCAAATACAATTTTAATATCTCGTTTTTCAAGTACTATCAACAAGTCTGTTGTGCACTTTTCATAACTTCTATTACCTGAATGCCGTCACTCTGTGTTTATTCCTTCCATTGAACTGATATTGTAAAGTCATTAACATAGAGTTTGCTATGGAGAAGTACATATCTTTGATACAAATTACATCCCCTTCTTTTGCAGGAATATGGATAACAATACTGTTCCAAAACAATCTGCATACTTTACGAGGCTAATTATCTTTTGCTTACTCTTCTAAAATGACACATTTCTTCAACACTTTTCTTCTCTATCTTATATACTTGGGAGTGCATCAGCACAGACTGCTAATATCTACCCAAGCATAGAAAACCTGCATTTGGCTTTGTATGGTGCTCAAAACCTTGATGATCCACTGTGAAGATCAACAGGAAATTATGCATAATATGACCCTTTTAAGGTACAAAAAACGTAAGTTCTCTTTAATATTCTCATTAAATACATGCTTTCAAACAAACTTGAGGAAGTTAGATTATTCTGTATTTTGCTTACTACCACTAAAATCTAAGAAGGTCTTAAGCACATAAAATTCTCAGAAAAATGAAATATGTATTAGGTAATAAACATCTGATATATTTTAAAATATGTGATTACTATTTACTTATATGTAACTACTGCTTACTTTGTAATTTACAAAAATTAACCAAGTAACTAAAATGTAGTTAATCATGCAACTACCCTTTCCTGCAATTTGTACTCCCTTTTTAGCCCAGAATGACACTATATATATTTTTAAATTTTGAATCCCTAAATTACTACCTTAAAAAATAAACAAAAAATATTTCATTAATTAAATACTTTTATACAATGCTATATATGAGTGGTGAAGGTATAGTTTTAGTGTACAGTACATATTTTTTTGACAAATGATGTGCTGGAAAAAATAATGACCCTGTATAGTAAAACCATTAAGCACTTATTAAGATTAGTTACTCTGCAGAGAAAAATTTATTATCTCACTAAAACCCATCCTGGAATAGTATACACTATATAAGTTACAGGTAATTATGATTATCCCAGTGTGCTTTATCCCTAATTCACAACTAAATTATCTGTCAACTTTTACTTTTTTAAAATAGACTAATACATAACAGGAGTTATTCTTTAGCTTAATTGAATCACCATACGTAAACAAATTTTGAGATTCTAAAATTCATGATTATTAGTAAATATTCAGAACCTAGTTTTAAAAAGTGACATATTTTGTAGGGCATATGACTGCCAAATAACTGTTTCAAATAAAGTTGCAATTAAATTAATCAAATTCAATTTAGTTCAATTGAATAAATTCAATTTAATAAAATGAATAAATGGAATGAGTTCAAATAAAATATTGTAAATAGTAAATGAAATTAATCATTTAATAAACTTTAATAACTTAATAGCATTAACTTTTATAAGCTGACTAAAAGTGTAACAGCCTGGTTTTTTACACACAACTGTGAAGAAAATCTGCACCTGTAAAAATGGGCACAAAAATTAAATTCTTATTGAAATTAGCCTCTGATTTAAAATTTTACTCTGCATAGCACAGGAAGCAGATAAATCAAATTAAATTCCTAAACTTTGCCCTGAAAGACATCAGTAAATACAGACAGTCCTTATAGCACCAATGTGTCATAAAGTAATAAAATTTAGTTCCATTTTACAGATGAAGAAAGTGAAGCAATTAGACCAACTTACAGCCCCATTCTCATACTTTGAGTTTGTCTGCTGCCTTCCTTATCTCGAGACTAGCTTGTTTTACAAAGATCAGTCTTGAAAGTTTTTTGTAGATATGTGTCCTAGATACCACATATTGTGCAGAAAACTAAAGCTATATTTTAACATAACCTGGAAGATGTATTTTTTTAAATAAATAAAATGGGCTTAATATGTTAATAACATACTTAGCTATTTTCATATGAAATTCTATTGATTTTCTGTTATTGCTCCATTGGCAGTTTTCAGTACGTTTCCTTTCCTGTTCTTGTATCAGCAGTGATTTAATTGCTATTCATGTGTTTCAGTCACCATCATGTTGAATAATAAAGTTTATGGTTCCCAGCATTATTTAAGAGCATTTGCAAATCCAGTCAACAACTCACTTGTTTATACATATTTACTGTTTGCTGAGTTATTTTAAGAATAACACAGACTATAAACTGTTTTTTCAGAAGAAACTTAGAAACTGGGATTTGGATTTCCTATAAATTATAAGATCTTTAACTTCACCATACTTACATGTTCATGACCTACAAACCTTTATTTATTACCCTTCTCCAAGTATTAGTAGGTGCTAGTGTCTTATCAATGAAAACTATTATAACAATCATCCATTCTGAAGTAAGTATATTGTCCTTTGGAGTTCCTTGTGGCCTTTTCTATCTGTTACTTACCTTATTTCATAATTGCTTATTCTAGAAAAATAATTATCCTTGAAGGAAAAGGTCCAAGTAGAAGCAGGGAGTTTTTCTCCCTACTGTTGCAAGGAAATACTGCCTGCTACGTATGTCTCTGCCACACACACATACGTGCATACCATATAGAGACAGGCTGTCATGAGAAAAACAAGTATACCTTACCTTTTGTTTTCAGTGGCTGCAAAAGATGTCTTCTGCATAATATCAATATACATTTTTAGTACTTCCACCTTCAGTTACTCCCATCTAGTTTCCCTAGCCTCTATGTATACAAAATAAAAGAAAATTTAAGACAGTGCTGATAAAATTGAGAAAATAAAGTACTTTGAGTTAACTAACACTGAGATTAGTAGCACAGTTTCAAAAAAGTCCCCAAACAATGCAACACAGCATATGAAAATGATTTCTGCTGGTTTTGATGATTCTCTGTATTTTTATTACTTACGGCAAGTCTTCCAGCCTGGAGGCCTCGTGTCTTGGGTCCAGCAGATCATAACCACATTCATTGTAGATTTCTAAGTAGGAAACATAAGTTGTATACACTTTACTGCTATCCTGGATAAGAAAAGAAAAAAAAATAAAAGAAAAAAGGAAGAGCTATTAAGAGAAGTCAGAGCTAGATCAGAGGATAAATTTATCACTACAGCTTTTATGTTGCTTTGTCACTCTGTTGCTTTTTCTTTTCCTGGGTATGGTTTATCTTTTCAATTTGTGATACTTTTATGTTTTCTATTACCATATGTATAAAGGCTCAAGAAGCAAAAGGAAAAAAACAATAAAAAAACCCCAACCAAAACACACACAAAAACCCCCAAACCAAAAATCCCCCAAACCCCACCATGCCCATAAGTTTAGTCTGGGATTTTTTATTGGTTCCTTATATCTAGAAAAGTCTGTATACTCTTAGAACATGGCAGCCTGCTTACAGAACCATGCAACATGCATTTTTCTCTTTTATGACAAAAAAAGAACGTTATTATAAAGAGGTAAACCCTCTTATTATGGATAGAAAGACTATGCTTAAAAAAACCCACAAACCAACAACAATAAAAACAAATCAAAGATTTACTTAATTTAGAAACATCAGTGACATACTGCTTTCCACTCTCTTTATCATAACATTTAAGCACTGTATATGATGTCAGCTGTAATCCTAAATTTTTGTATAATACATTGCCAAAATGTAACTTAACACAACTTGGTTTTGCAGACAGAATTTTCTCCTGCTCCAAAGCCAAATCCAAACAACATAAACCTCAAAATAATGGGCTATGATTCCCAAAATATAAGAAAATTAGTCATTTCTTTTCAGTAGATGAAGCCACTGTGAAAGCACTGATATCACACTCACAGTAGCAGCTTAATAATCCAATCCACTACAGTTGTTTTGCGAAATACTGTGAGATATGAACTTCTCATTTTCATTGAATAGTTATTTGCCATGGGTTTTTTTATTTATAATGACAGTTCACTATTTCAAGGGACAGCATTTAAAAAGATACACTGCAGATGGATGGAAAAAATATAGTAAGGAATTGTTCAAACAGGAAGATGTGGAAATAGGAGAATTTCTGACCAATAAATTAAAAGGAGATGTTCTTAAAAACAAAGGGCTTGATTTGCTTCTCATTTGGGGTAAAATGTTTTGCTTCCTTGGTTTCAAATTGCAGTGTCTCAGTGCAAGTAAGAGCTTCAAAAGTTTTGTATTTTGTGTTCCTCAATTCATTTTCTCCTGTTCTATCCTACTTAGGGTTAAGAGGCAGATGACTCTTCTCCACTATATCAGCACTTTCCAAAGCACAGTTGTAGATAAAAAGAAATGAAACAAGGGAAATGTGTGAAAAGAAAGGCAGGTGGAAAGATAAAACACCAAGAAGAGATGCTTTAAGATGCACCAAGAAAGAAAATGTACAAAACAAACCCCAATATTTGGAAGAAGGCAGGCAGAAATATCCCTACAAGTATAACTTAAGCAGAGCTTTTGATCCAAAACCCAGTCCAAAAATGTAAACACAAACATTTTTATTTTTGTAGAAACTATGTGCTGAAAAGATGACAGATAAACTAGTTATTTTTCATCTGATTTTGTTTTTATTACATAATAAGCACTAGAAAGTAATGTTGGTGTGTTGACACTGTATGTTGCTGGCAATTGCAAGATCAACTTGTTCACTTTCCACCACAAAAGTGCTCCATGGGGTCATGTGAGTGCAGTAGAAGGTCTAAGACAACATCATCACGTGGCTGGTTTGTTGGGGTTTTTTTTCATTTCCATTCCCACAAGAGCAAGCTTTTGTGCACCTGCAATATGCTGTGTACATTTACCTGCCAAAGCCATACTTTGAAAGTGCCAAGGTAATTACTTAATATTGTTAACCCTTACTCAGACAGGGCATGTTCATGTGACTGAGACATATACCCTCATGAGTAAGAATTGGTGCCCCGTATTAGATGAATGTCAGAGTATAAAAGTACAATGTAAGGATTGATGTTAACATCAAATAATATTTAAATTTTTTTAACTAAATAGCTTTGTTTAAATGTGAAGATTAATCTTAAATGAGTCATAGGCCTGATGGAGTAAATGAAGAGAAAAAACACATATTACAGCAGACTCCTCTCTTCCTCTCTTCACTTCTGCTTCCTATAGTCACAAAAGCACCAGGATGATTGACTGTGTTCACCCATATCAGTATTACAGACACTAAAAGAAAATGAAATGTCTTGTAAACATAACGAACAATAATCAGTGTGCTTACTCTGGTGCACCCTTTCACTTATTCACTGATTTCATTGCATACAAATGTCAAATTGAAATAATTCTACAATATTTTGGTTATAACCTAATACATATACACACACAACGCCCCCCCCCATCCTCCTTTAGAAAAAAGTTCTTATACCTGGAATGCCAACCACTGTATCATCAGCTAGTTATTGTTGTTTCTTACAGTCCCCTTATATGTGGCAAAAAATAGGATATGTTACTGAAGGTTTCTTTCTGAACTGCAGGCTGGAGGTCAGTCAAAAGACTTATGATTTGGAATTACTAACTTAAAATTAACTTATCTATTCAATTAGAAATGTTGTTGCTGACATCTTATTTGAGTTTCTGAAGCATTTCAGTTGACAATTATCCTTTACTTTTTAGAAAAATTAATGTAAGGATATAATAAGAAATATTTCAGGTGTGGTAAGACTTTTAAAGTTGGGGTTTTTTATAATTTGTATTTATTCTGTTTCTGTCATTAGATGTTGAGACATTACAGTGTACTTGTAGTATTTTAAATGTCACTATTGCCTTCTGTAAAACTGAACTGATGCCATGTTTTCTGTACATAAAATGAATAAGCTGCCAAATTAAGTTTTGGCTGTCTTTTGGGGGGGCACAGTAGATCCAGAAGAACCACACAATTAAATTGCAGTCAGCTTTCTCCTTCTCCCAAATTCTACCAATTCTTTTTCTGCCAGGCATGATGGCTTTTTTTTTTTTGCACAAGAAGCAACAACACTTTTTTTTTTATTCAAAGTAAAAGAGTAAAAGACTTCAAATTCAGTTGGGTACAATGATCTGTAAATCAGCTTGATTAATTTGTAACTGCAACAACTACACTTATGAATTCTGCAAGGTATTCTTCTTTTTGTAATGACAAAACTATTTTAATACTTTGTATTGTTCCCCCCCCCTACTTCTGCAGTCATAGCTAGAGTTGTTGAAATATACTATTCATTTTTACATCATTGGATTCACCTAAAAAGTACGTATATAGCTCTTTGCTTTAGGTTAGTTACCACACTTGAGTGACGTGTTATGCCAAATTCAGTATTCAAACAGCAGGTGCATTGAGCTATCAGTGACAGGAAAATCTTCTCTGCAGTATTTAAAAAAATGAACAGAAAAACATTAAGAAATAACTGGGACAGAACTGTAAGACTCAGAATACTATAAGATGAGGAAAAAGGGAAGAGACAGAGAAATCATACTGGGCAGTATTTACTACTGCCCAAATTTTTTGTGAAGCCAAATCAATATTTATATGGGTGTAGTGAAAATTTCTCAAATAAAAGTTTCAGATGGAAAGCACATGCAAAACTGGTTTTCAGAATACAGCTTACTACCTTTGAAAATGTTTTTCTAGTCACTGTTAAATAGCGTTTAGGTACTGATACTGTTTTAAAAACAGACCAAAGGATTATTTATTTTTTCCTTTTTTTCATTTTGGAAATAACACAATAGGAATAATTAATAACAGTAAATTATTGTTGTTGTTGTTGCTGCTGCTGCTGTTGTTGTTATTTTGTGACATTTTATTATTTACACCTTTACCTGTTCATATGTTATACATGTGTAATTATGTTAAGAAATGTGCCTAAGGATCTTTCTATCCAACTATATTCAGTGAATAAGGCATTTATTACTAATACCATATACACATAAAAACATTCCATACAAGTGCATAATTGGAGTTAAAAGGAAAACAGCAGAGAAGGAAAATTAATATGAATATCTATTTCCTTTCAAATACTTAAAGTATTTGCATTACTGACTTTAAAAATTGCTTTTCATCATAATTAGATGTATTTAGTGTTATCATTCTATAATATTGTCTAGCTAATCAGTAACATTAGGTAAAATAAAGGCATTAGGTAAAATAAATAGCTGAATATTTAAAAATGCTTAATATTCATTTTACTGTTTTATGGTTGGGTTTGGGTTTTTTTTGAGCATCAGTCAAGCACAAAGAAATTAGGTAACTTATGAAGAGTGTGTAAGTAATGCTCCATCTTTTATACAACACTTTGTTTACAGAGGAATCGGAGCAATTTTTGTACGTGGTGAGTGTAAGGCCGTGCACACAATATAAAACCAGAGTGGAGCTAATATAAGTGTTAAGACAAGGAGAACCAGCTATGTGATCTGAATGTATGTTGCACCAACTAAAAATAGCATGGTTTTTAAAACTACAAAAAACCCTCCAGTGATGTCCATTATTTTCAGTCCACTGCAACAAACCGGGTAACCAAAACTATTACCAATGTATTCTTGCATAAGGTAACATGTCAAGTTAGGTATTTTCTTCAGTATTAATTTTAGGGCTTCCTCTAACACTACTATAAAAACAACCTTTTGCAATATAGTTAAGTATTTGTAAACCAGATATTAAAAATAAACAGAAAACAATGTCCCATACCTTCTGCAATTGATCAAAAATATAAGATAGAGTCCTGGGAATGATGCCTCGATCACTGTAACGTTCTGCTCCTCCTGTGATGGTAAAAGTTTTGCCACTGCCTGTCTGACCATATGCAAAGATAGTACCATTATATCCTGCCAAAACACTACAGAATAAAAAAACGGGAGATAATCAATATATAAGACATGACATTTTCTATCATCAACTTCGTATAGAACCAAAATATAATTAACAGTAATTCTTCATTACATAGCAGCTGTCTTCAGTAATACAAGAATACACCTCAAGATATGTATTCTAGATTCAGTGGAATTTAAACTATCTAGAACTAAAGGCCTTTTTGATGCCTTGACTTACCCCGTTATTGAAAATCATCATTAGTTGATCATATTTATTACTATTTAATTTACCTTTGTATACTTTCTTCTTTGGCTGATGATTTTTTGCAAGGATGATATTTAGTCTCTTAAAAGACTGTAGATGTCAGGAATTGTGACCACTGACACATTACAGCTAAAGAATCCAGAAATATTTTACATACGACTCAATTGCAAACAGAGAAGACTATATTGTGGTTAGAAACTCATGTAAGGATACAGTTATACCACAGGTTTTTTTTTATTCTGAGAATACTACTATACTAAACTATCAGACTATTCCTAGCTTAGATAAGGGTAGGCAGGAGAGCCTGTGCTTATATCAGTGTAGTAAAATCCTCATTTACTATGAAAACACACAGAACCACATTGATAAAAGCAAACTTTTCTGTTAGAACTCTGAACAAGTTTCTGTGGAACAGAAATAGTAGCTATGCAATGGCATAGGTTGAAATGACATTCAGACTCAATCAGCTTTTTTCACACCTCTTTTACTTGCAGAAGTACCTAACAAAAGTCTAGTTCAAATACCTTTCTCTAATTCACCACACTCTCACCATTAACTTCCACCTGATTTCCACCAAACAGTAGATAAGCTTAATGACAGTGGCACAGCTGCACGCTGTGGAGGAAACATGGGTCTCGGCTGCAGCTGACATACAACTCAGGAGCTATGGCTGACTAAACAGAATTTAAGTCGTGACTCAAAATATTTCAAGATTTTTGGTCCTGATTTTGTTCTAAAGGAGGGAGCTTTTAATGCAATGAACAAAAACCAGTCCCATAAATTATCAGTACTGACTGATAAGTCAGTACAATTTGAAGGAACTATTTTTACATGCAAATATAGCATTTTTTTCTTATTAATATATGGCAAAATTTCTTACAGTATTTATGAAGACAAAGTCATATTTTTCCCAAGTAAGACCCCTTTGATGGGCTGATGTTTGAAATATGAATACAACGTTTCATTTTCCCCTTGATATTAGAAGTAAAATTTCAGGTATCCAATGATTAAAATTTCTATTGATACTCATAGCTGACTACCATGCACTTCCCTTGTACAGCTCTGTCTCAAGAGATAAAAATACTAAAAATATATTTCCACATTTCTAATTCCATTTCTTGTTAGTTATTGTGAACTGCCCTGAGCTTGAAAAATATTTTAAGTGCTCTAAGATTTTATGCTTCACACTGACTGGCTATAAACAATGAGATAAAAATGATGGAGGACACATTTATTTTGTATTTTCTCTTGTCTGTAAAAGCAAACAAAAACTGAATAAAAAATTACCAGAATCACAAATTAAATAGTGATGAAATCAGTTACTGACTGTAATATTCAGATGGCAAATCAAACCAGAACTCATGAGAGTCTATAGTTGACAGAATATATGATAAAGATATCAGATTAGATTGTCATGCTTTTTTCTTTCCTTTCAGCAGCTGTCAGTTACAAAGTGTTTCCTGGATTCATCAATCTCAAAATTGTTCTACCACAATTCCAGCATCTCCTGACAAAGTATATGACGGGAGCATTTGAAAACAAATAAAGTAATGAAGAAAGAATTATTTTCTTGACAAAACTTATCAGAAGCAAAATCTACTTTGGATTTCATCTACTATGTCTTTAAAGACCTACTAATTTTGCTAAAGAAAAGAAATGTTAAAATTATTCTTGTGTATTTTGTTTGTTGAAAAAGTGATAAATAAGCTAAGATTTTAAAAAATAAAAAGGGGCAAACAACCCTTCCATAAGAGGAAAAGAACCATGTATAGATAGCTGCTGGTGTGGTGCCACAAGAGATGTAATGGTTCTCCAACTTACTAAAATTTATTTAAAGACCTGAGTAGTTGCCAAATTGCTTATTTTAATTCATTACAGTAGGATATCGGAGACAAAAACAGAAACATGTAGAAAGGAACTACAGTGAACAACTGCTCCCAAAGACCAAAATGCTCAGAGTGTATAAAGATTTTAGATTCCAGATGTTAAAAAGCAAAACAATTATTATTGTAAAACACCTCATTCATCTATCTTAGGAATTTCTAGTGCCCACTGTCACAGTATCTGAATGCTGAAGACAATAATGAGTTGTCAGAAGGTAGGGGGTGTCAAAAGAAGCTCAAAGATGGCAGATTGAAAACAAGCAAGGGGAGATGATTCTTCATGCAAAATGTAGTTAAGTTCTGAAACTCCTTGCAATGGGATGTTTTGGATGCTAAAAGTTCACACAGACTTCAGTAGAGACTGGACTAATTGATGAAAAAAAAAATTATCTCAGGGCTACTAAACACAGACAAATCAGAAAGTCCCTAAACTACAAACAACTAAAGGCTACCAGAATACTTGGGGGAAGTAGCTCTACATGCTCACACATTTTTTTTTCATTTCCCCCCGCCCCCCAAGCATTGACTGTTAGTCCCTGTGAGACATAACATACTGGGCTAGATGGAACTTTGGTCTGACCCAATACAGTTGCTCTTCTGTTTTTACATCTCTGCTCTTTGGCTCTTCTAGATGTAGCATTTTGGGTTGTTAAGTTTTCTTACTCCTTCTCTTCTTTAAAGTTGTTAAAGAGATATAATTTCAATTACTGTGACATGGCTCCCCCAGAAAGGTGTGCTTTGCAATGTGTCTAAAAAAGTGGTAAAGGTATGGCTGCAAACTATTAACCTGAGGTCCGTGTACTTCACAAAAAGCTGTTGATTAGGATCACCACACATGTAAACATCAGATAAAATGTAATATACCATACACTGTCAAAACACCTACAAAAGTCAGCGAGTTTTCTTTGTGTTACTTGATTCATATATTTCTTATATTTATTGCAGTGCATCAGCACAGATCTGAACAATTTTCCAGAAAACACTGACAGTTCAGAAAATGTGAACATATCTATGTCAATAATGTATTCTCACAGTCCAATGTAATTATAGGTAATATTAATATTGCATTGCTGAGATGCACTGTGAAAGTGCTCGTTATAATTCCACAGTTTAATTCCACTTTAAAATCCAAGATGAAAGTCAATCTTCTTTCTTATATATGTGTGCAGGTGTGTATAATTTTATATATATAATTGCATCCTGCCCATATTTACAGCACTCATTTCTTTCATTCAGAGTGTATTAAAACCAACAACCAAGCCAATTTAAGAAAAGCCTGCTTGAGTTGCTAAGGAAGCCTGTATGGAAAGAGGACTACCAATATCAGCAAAACTGCTGGCAAAGCCTTCTAAGAGTGAAGCGCAACCCCATGAAGAAAGGATGAAGAATAAATTCCTTTTCTAAGAAGAAAACCACCTTTATAAAAGACAATGGACTAGGAGTTCAAGCAGGACTGATGGAGCTCCTTTGGCTTAGAAGCAAGCTGAAGACTATGATCTCACTTCCTGAAAAGAGGAGATGGGAAGATGCACTGAAAAGGAAAAGTCTCTACTGTATCAGCCTGTTCACAAAGAAACTTATGACCTAAACAGAACTAAAGCTTATGTGTACACATATATGTTTATGAAAGATCAAATTTCAAAACTGAAGATGTGTGACCACCAATCTGGGTATAATATTCTGAATATTAGCCAATATAAATTTTGAAGGTCTGTATGTAATAAAGTCTACATGGATTAAGTCACATAAAATCCATGCCTGATGTTACTAATTCACACTTCTTTTAAGGAACTTCTCTTGGAATCAGTGGGAATACAGGATGTTTTAGCAATGAGGCTTGTGGAAAAGCTATTGTCATAGCAAATACTTGATAAAGATACACTTTGCTCTTTTTCCACTTCTAAGAACTTCAACTTAAAAATAAATAACAAACTTTATCAATCTGATTTTAGTTCATTGTCCCAGTGACACTTGAAATGGTAACAATATATGTAGGTGGACCAACACCTAATCAATCAAAAAATCAATTAAACCAATATCTATTTACTAAATACTCAGGAATTTTTAAGATATGTCCTTACTGTTTTCAACCTAAGATGCACAATGCCTTTAGGAAAATAAAAACATAGAAAGATTCATAACCCTTTAGCCACCCATAAAATGTTATTTAAAAAACAACAAACAACACTGCAGAATTAGCCTTGACAAAGTGAAGGGTCTCTCCGATGCGAAGAGTTAGTACAGTGAGCAGAAAACATACACATTCTCCCTTTCATCACAAAATGTAATCACAACAAGTACCTAAAAAAGTTGGCAACACCAGATATGAGATGACAAGAAGAGAGTGTATTTTCTAAACAGTGTCCACCAAAAGGATCCTTGAAGATTCTCATCTGCAAATTAAAGCTGTCCCCTACAGTAGTGGAACAGATTCTCTACTAGGAAAGTCGGTAGAGAATCAGCAGCTATTTTCTGCCTATTCTGAAAAATCTACTTTGCAAGACGTAAGTTCACCCAGGCAAAGTCTGCATCTTTGCTCTTCAGACTCTCTGAATAAAAATCTCAAACCTTTGTTAAACTTAGTATTTGAAAGTACACAGATTGACATGGTTATTGATGGTACTTTTGTGAAGACTTTAAAATATGCATACATAAAAATCATACATTAAAAGGATATTTTCAATCATGTCCCCTCAGTGTTATCAGAATATCCAGAAATTTGCATTTTTTTTTCTCCCAGGAAACTGAGTTTTGGCATGGTTAAGGAGACGTGTTGTTGAATAAATTGTCTCTTTACTACTTCAAACAAAACACATCAAAGACACATAATCCAAGGAGAGGCTTTGCTGAAAAGATCTTTCATGAACTTACGCAATGT